TACGCGTATGATACAACCATATATGCAAGAGATAAAAATCGTAATAACGTAATTGCGAGGCTAAAGAATGATTCAAGCAGAATTATCCAATTGTTCGCTGATAACGTTATAGGAGATTCTTTCATTGAAAATTCGGAAGAGGAAAAGCTACTAGGTGGTAGACGACAGACTCAGTTTTAAACTTTACCTATACATCTTAAGTGCGAGGATGGATCAGTTGCTAGAGGCGCTGACTACAGACCCAAGGGTCCGTGGTTCGTGTCCCTGGCATGACCAAACTTTCACCTAGAGTGAAGAGAGTCGCCAGCTTTCTGTAATTCCAGGCATAGGAATCATGAGGTGTGGTCATATCGAGAGGAAGGACCAGGACACTGCTCGATAAGCACGAGCTTCTCAATGTCCTAAAAACTACATTCGAATGCTAGGTAGCAACAAATACAAAAATACAAATACAAATTTAACTTTGACACAAATGCAACAAGAAAACTGAAGGCCGAGATACATTCTTTTTTATGTTGGTTGTTTCTCCCTCAGTTTTCCCTTTTGCATTTACGATTGTGATATCTTGTCTTGTAAACCCAGGCTAGCCAGTTGCAAACTACCTCTGTAATAGAGAGATCTATAATTGTAAGTGTGTGTAAGAAGTATGAACCGCAGGATAGGCTGTCCACCGGATTCTGTGAATCTTTCAATCTCTACAGCACCACCCACATTCCCTCACATCATCCACCATCCTGCCCCCCTCCCACATTTGTATCATCCCATTTTTTCTCCGCTGCGCTGCCCTGTATGCCGGGGCGAAATATTAGTATTTCGTTTATTTAGTTTATTTTGAATTACATTGGATTCTCGTCGTCGTTTTGCCTTGTTCCTGAACTTTATCTTTGTACATGCTTTGTATTTTCAGTGCAACCTTGAAATCTTCCATTGGCCATATCTCGCCCAATTTCAAACATATCTAACTGATTTTTCATGTTGAGAGGCATTTTGTGATGTTCTTTCAGATTTTTTGGTCAAATGTAAGAAGTTCTAAAAAATATTTTTGATGATGTCACAGTCGGTACTCTATTAGGATATGTGGTCCAAAGTTAAAAGCTCTAAAATATGTTTCTAAGATGTCACAATTAAGAACTCTATTGTCGCTACCCGCCAATCCTAAATGCTTCGAATGTTTCAGAAAGTTTTGAATCTTAACGAAGAAAACGTAATGTCAGAGTGCCGACAGTGAGTGAACCACCCACAAAGATGTAATATAACACCATTTTTGCTGTGGTAATTCTAACTAGAATCTAACTAGTTCAAAAAGTGAAAAAAATTGAAAAAAAAAACAAAAAATGTTAAAAAATAAAAAAATCACGAAGTGGAAGTTATGAAAGTGCCGACATTGCTCCAAATTTTTCAAAAATTGAAGTGCCGACGGGGGGGCTCAATGAACTTTTTGGGGGGGCTCCTGCCCCCAAGCACCCCCGTTGGCGCCATCCCTGGTCTGAGGGTCTAAAACAACTGACCCTGATCTCTGATATTTGATTCCAAATTTATTTCTCTTCTCTTCAGGGACAGTGCCAGGAAATTAAACCTAGGGGGGCTAAGAATCAAGTTTAGTGACATATGAGGACCCACCTGTTCACCTGTTGGGTCCGACGCGAAAACAAATTGAAATTAGGCCTCCTAGAATGGCTAAAATGCATCTCCCAGACAAAAATTTAACAAATTAAGATACCGCTCAAGATAGAAAATTCGACCATTCTCAGAAAAACATTTAATGATAATTTTTAGAAAAAATTTGGAGGGGAGGATTCATGCGTTGGGGAATGAAAGAAGGAAAGGGTGACCTTTGCTCAGGGTGCACATCGACACAAATAACAAGAAGCTGTTGTATTGATTGCCAGGGTGCATTCCATGTACCTACAATCCCGGACAAAAATAGTTGAGATTTTTTAAGAAAACTTCATGTTTTCTCTTTCCTTTGAAAAATAGATTTCGCCCCTCACGGTAAACAGTAATTGTTCAATTCATAGCTTTTACAATTTCAACTTTCTTCAGGCAGCGCTACAACATTTTCAAAACAGCAAACTTGCTTTAGCCCGTTACAGAAACATCTACAATTACAAGAACCGCCCTCCTCCCCGGGCCAAATCGAGTATTAATGGTACTTGGAAAAGTAGTGCCCCCAAATTGATTCAAAAAGCTGCCACTGAGAGAGGCCTTTTTTCGATTTAGTACCAACAAGAAATCTTGAAACCTTCGCGGGTGTATCATCAGGGACGGATTTCAGCGGCAATGATTGGGGGTGTTTGATTGGATATTGGTGCCACACCTTTCAGGTAACTGGAAAATGATGGAAAGGCCCATTTTAGAAATTAAACTTCTCGCTTCAAGGTGAAGAAGTTAAAAAGATAAAAAGAGTAAATTGTTTCATTATTTTTTCGCTACTGACCACCAAAAATGTTTTTAACCGAATCAAAACAAAATTTACCAAAGGACACAGAAATATTGGGGAGTGGCGCACCCCCTTCAGTCCTCTCCTGGTAAATATGTCCCTGAATATCATATTAACCAACGGAGTAACAATCATTGCCTGATTCTTTATTGATCTCTGAAAATGTAAGGGCTCTGAACTACTTACAATCTTTCTTCCATTGAACCCCACACCCTTTATTCGCGACACCCTCGGTGATGCGAAAAAGCAATAATTCATCAACCTGAGTAAGAAATCGAGCTTTAAAAATGTGTCCACCTGTTCTGTAAAACATCTAGTCATGCTTTAACTCGTTTTTCAATTTTCATGGAGCCTGAGAAACTAAAACCGTTGATGTCTCATATTGGCTATTGCCTGCTGATTTGGGTGTTTCGAGAAAGAAATTTGAACTATAAGATAAACTGAATTTAAGAGAGAGGCTTATAATAGCATATATTTATGATGCTTCTAGCTTTGAAAAATTATTTGAAACTGATAGCTCTTTAAGCGTTCATCAGTTGAGCCTGTATTTGCTTTTGGTCAGGCACGTAAATAATAGGGGGGCGTGGGGGGTGTAACGCCCCCCCCAAAGTTCGGAAAATCCAGTTACAGTTGGAAAACTTAACGATTGACTTGGAATTTTTTTCTTAGGACCAAACTTGTGGATTTTATATTTTAAGAAGTTTTTTATTTCAAATGTAAAAATTCTAAACATCAAAATTGACAGGCTGAAGCTGACCCATCCACTAATCGTTTTCTATTGTGAATCCCGTCTCCACTGGATCCAAATTGCACAATTGCCCCGTTTGCTTTCTTTCTGACGTGAGTTGAATCAAATTACGAACAGGCAAGGTGAATTTCTGGATAAGAAACTTGAAACTTTACAGTTTGGAATAATAATACCCGCATTGATCAGAAAATATTAGAGTGGGAGTTTTTTAAGAAACTACGAGTAGTTAATTCAATAAAAGATTAAGAATCTTTCAGTACTAAAAATTCTCAACGCTTCCTATAAAAAACGAGTTTATGCTAAACTTATCATAAATTCCTATGACAAAACTGCTGTGAAGCAAGAACACATTGCGAAACTGCAGTAGAAGCATTTGATCAAAAAAAATGTTTCATCTTTCGAATCAGGCATATGCACAAGTTTGCTCTCAAATCATCATTTCAATTGTAAAGAACGAAAAGGCATTTGGTCCTCTAAAAAGTGTTAGTAGTTTTCTTCGATCAAGAACGAAAAGGCTCGAATTCTGGGTGCTTCTATATCGCGAAAAAAATATAGGTATTTTAGATAAATAGATCTGCATCAATTGATCAATTGATCAATTTAGATAAAATTGATCAATTGATCTGAAAGAAAACTACTAATCATTAAGTATTTCTAATACTGGTTTTGCTTGAATGTTGCTTTACTTCTTACAGTAAGTTTAAATTTTTGTTTCATGGTAATCAAAATTTAGAGATTTAGACTTTTATGCTTTAGGCTAATTGTTGCGTAAGGTTTTGGTAATTATAAAGAAAATAGAGCTATGGTGTTCGGGCTATTTACAAATATCAATATTAACTGGTCGCATGAAAAATTTCTCACTTAAAGTTGGAATTTTCATCCTTCCACGCCCCTCCAAAAAGAGCAACTTATTTTCGTCCCTGCTTTTGGTAGAGGTCTACAAATAAATATCACATCTATGTTCTAGCTTCATAAAGCTAGCTTTGGTAGAAAAAATTCCTCACAATCTAACGTCTCTTGATGAACTACAATTGTCAACTTGCCTTGGAATCAATATCAAACGATCATTTTTGTAGGAAAAAGTACGAAAAACACTATGACCAGAGTTGAAAAACTCAGACTCCCGTTAGATATTCAAAATATATATTTATAAAAGCCCATAAATGCAAAGATTGCAACAGCAGATAAAGATATTATATTCAAATTTTGGTTTGTTTATTGTAACAAGCATTTCACTAATTTATGTTTTTAATAGTAAATTTTATATTTTTTTGTAAGTGATTGGTAAGCATTTTCAGCCTTATTCATTTGCAAACCTTAAAATATTACTGAAAATAGAGCTGTGGAGGATGTAAATCAACTACTACTGGTTTACTTTTTTATCAGAATGGTAGGAATTCTATACCATCTTTGACTTATTCAAAAATTGCCCAGAATTTGATTCCTTGACCTGTGTAACAAGTTTATCTGGTTCTTTAGGCAAAATAATAGTCGTATATCAGGAACTAATTTTATATCGTTGGCTTTGAATTATGGGAATCATTTTGGAGGAAGCTCTTTGTGTAAATCTGCATAATTTTATCCGTGTAACGCATGATATTATCACATATTCTTAGCTTTATGTTAGCTAGTTGCTGTTTTCTAACTTACAACTCTAAATTTGTTATTAAGGTTTTGTGGCGATGGATCATTTCACAAACCTTTATTAAAAGTTGTTAGGAAACGCACATCCGTTGAAACACATTTGTGTCCTGTCTAGCGCATATGCGCTTCACGCCATTCACAGCTAGGCCCTGCATGTCCGCCATTACACTACACTTGAAACGCATATGCGTCTCGGCCCATGCAGAAACGCATGCCCATGCAGAAACGCATAGTACCCCGGGTTGCTTGAAATCGCCTCGGGGGCTGAATCGAGACTAGGGAAGTTGCAAATATGGCGGGGTTATCTGTTTGGGATTATGTGGTTTTCGGTGTGATGCTAATTTCTTCCAGTATTATTGGAATTTATTATGGCTGCAAAGCGAAGGGAAGATCGACCAAGGAATACCTGATTGCTGGTGGCTCAATGCACTGGTTCCCGATTTCTATGTCACTTCTTGCCTCGTTTTTCTCTGCAGTGGGTTTGATGGGGATCCCAGCCGAAGTTTACACATACGGAGTCAGTTTTATATTCCATGTGATTGGCTTTACAACAACTATGATACTAGCAGCTCATGTATATGCACCCATCTTCTACAAAAGCCGTATTACAAGTGCAAATGAGGTATTGCGGGGTAGGGGTATTGGGCGAAAAATTCTCATTAAGACCAGGCCCTACAGAGACACCCTGTGTTTTTCATAATTTTAGTGTTAATTCATTCTAACAATATACATTTTCAAAGACAAATGTAAAATTTGTGACGTTACATATGCAATGCATTTTCATCCATTTTAAGATTTAAGATCAGTTGGAAGAGTAGTAACCCCCCCCCCTAGTTGGGAAAACATCCATGAGCCCCTTGAGAGCAAATTTTTATTTTGCCACGTTTTTCATAATCAGGCATTGCTTACCCAAAATACCTTTGTTATCAGTGACATAACTAGCCCCGAAAAACTGGAGTGGACAAAATAAATTCTTGATCAGTTGTGTAAATTTGAATGCCAGTGTGTAAATTTTGTTCACAGAATATCAAGTGATGACTTTTTGAAGAAAATTGTTGGAAATTTACAGAATCTTTGCTGATACTCAAATCTTCTGTTTTCAGTATCTGGAGATGCGATTTTCATCTGGTGTGAGACTTCTTGGATGTATCCTGCTTATACTGCAATATGTAAGTGAGAAATTCTAAGGAAAGTAGTGTAGAGCAATTGATTCTATTGGTGTCTATTTTTGTCATATATAAAAGCAGACATTTTTTATTTAAAGAAACATTTTTTTTAATATCCTTCTTGTTTGCTTTTGAATTATTGATGGGAGAGGAGCTCAAAATTTCATCAATAAGATCTAGGCCTTAAAATGGTTCACAACACATTCTGACAGGTGTTGGTCTCACCCAAACCAGAAGATATTTTTTATGAAGCTATTTCTTCATTCTATTTTGCTAAATGTGTGTCCCAATCAAGCTTATTTTGTTTTTAAGGTGCTTTATTTATCTGTTGTGCTGTTTGCACCAAGTTTGGCACTTGAAGCTGGTATGTGACAGTTTTGGCCCATTGAGTCATTTTCTGTGGATATATCTGCACTGGTAGTGTTAGTGCAACCTAAGGGTTGAATATTTAGATCCTATTTAAACAGCATCAGAATCAAATTGATTGTTTCCCGGATTGATTGGTGTTGTGTTTAAAATATACCTTGTTGATCCGATCCTACTTGAAGTGGACCATTTTCACCTTATCTCCAAACGAGGTCTCACGTAAAATATTTTTGTTACTGAAATTGGAACCAAATTTGTAAGTACTTGGTTGGATCTGTCCCTGTGTAGACCTGATATTGAATACCTTTTGACAGCTGCTGTGTTCCATTCCATATTCCTGGAGTCCAACATAACATTTTAGTTACACATCTCAGGATAAAAGTTTCAGTGTGTGAGAAGGAGGAACCTCAGGATAGGCCGTCCACCGGATCCTCTGAATCTTGCAATGAGTATAATGTAACTATGAGGATTAAATTCAGAAACAAAGCAAAACGACAACGAAAATCCAATGTTTTGAGATATATTTTCCAAAATAAATTAAATTAAACGAATACTAATATTTTGCCCTGGCATACTGGGCTTCATCAGAGTAAATGGAACGAACGAGTGAATAAATTTGAAATGTGATATGGTGATACTGGATTGGTTATGTTGTTAAGTTAATGGTAAATGGTTCTGTTCATGCCGTTGGGGTGAGGGTGTTCACCAGGCCAATGTGATATTGCTCTTTAGCTCTTTGAATACTCTCAATCTGTAATATGCCCTATGTTTCTTTAAGCTATGTAGCTAAAATGATTTTTTGGGGAAAATTTCTAATGGCAACCTCAAATGCTACTACCAATATTCTGCTGTGCAATTATTATGGTGTTAGGTTTTTCATGACATTACATTTTTTCCCATACATTTCATATTGCATATGTTTAAAATATTAAAATGAACAATTATTTTTTTGCTTAGTTGCTGGGGTTCCGCTGGCTACATCTGTTTTAGCAACTGGACTTGTCTGCACGTTCTATACAACATTGGTAAGACAATATTTTTCATTTCATTCTGCTGCAATTGAAGGTTCATTGATAAGTGGATGCCTCAGGCCTTTTCTTTTGACCTGGGCCATCACTCGCGATCGCATCAGCATTCGTGCAAAACTCAACCACGAGAGCATCCCGTCGCTCGAGCAAAATGGTGAATTGCGAAGAATAAATTTTTTCACTTCTTAACACATTTGCAGTCATCTTTTCTGAATTAAGGTTACGGTAAACATTTTCTGTATGAAAACATCAATTTTTCGATTTTTTCATGTTCTTTCAAGGTACACAAAGATACCAAATTTGAGACAAACATAAATTTTGAAAATGGAAAGAATCCAATGTAAACGAAGGTTTCCATAATTTCTTTATTAGTTTGAAAGTCTCTTGACCTGTTTAGCTGATTATCGTTGCTTTGCGGTTGTCGTCGCATTTACAGTATGGCCCTAAACGCACCGAACAAGATTTCAGGAAAAACTTTTGACACACTTAGTCTCTATTGTTCATAGAGAAAAGGGATTAAGCTTGTTAGCAAACAAGTGCTGATTCTTCGGTGTGGCCACCCAAATTGCCACTGAACCAAATTCACTAATCCTTCAAAGGTTCCGTCGTCCTGCCTCAGAGCAGGACGAACTCTGGAAAACGGAAATGATTAGCAATCAACGCATTTTTCTGGCGCTACAGAATACCCAAAGTAAAATCGTTCTTTTTTTAAACCTCTTCACATTAACCAAACAGCAAACAACCATTTTACACACCAACTGCAGAGCGCTCGAATTTCCAAGCGGAAATTGGATTCTCTTTGTCAAACTTGAAAAAGTTTTCTCAATTTTTCACTTTGACAAAGATAATGAGTTTTGTGTCAGAAATCAGTGCGTTCAAAGCCTATCGCATGGCACATCCATGTATCAAATGTACGGCCGTGTTTATTTAAACAGGCTTATTGATCTTAAAGCTTCAAGTGACTTGACCTGGATAACACTGTGCTTCACGAGTGTACCTTGCAAGTGCGATCAGTAAAATCCCGTTTTCTCCGGACTTACAATTCCTCTACATACAGGTCCGGAAAAGCTATTTTGTACCCAAGAAACCAATCGAGTGGCTCAAAATTTTGCACACGGCCAGGACAGATGTCTGGTAAGCAAAGTATTTCTCAAAATTTTTGTATTTGCTCTGGTCCGCCTTTTATAGCCAAATACAGCTGTGCAAGAGAAGAAAAATTGTTTGCCAATTTTTAACAGGGTATAGTTTCAAGGGGAGGAGTTATTTGAAAAATCTGAGACACGCTTTGGTAGCTAAGAATCTGCGCTTTCTGCTGATATAAGTCAGATTTTGATACCTCAAATGCAAGGGTAAAAAATAGCTTTTGAAGGTGGTACACTCATTTATACAATAGATCTCCCTGGAAAGTATCATTTTACAATCTTTGCCAATTATTTCGATATGGTTGGAACCGCCACATTCTTGTGCATCGAATGATGTATAGTTTAATCTGATTCAGTTAATAGTTTTGCTTTTAGGAAGAGAAAACCAATTATTGTGTCAAAAACGTTTACCGTAACCTTAAGCAAATGACATGGACAATACAAAACGGGTATATCAAAGCATAAGAAATATAAACAACCGCCTTTAAACGGAAGAAAATTTGAACTATATTCGCCTTTTGAACATCGTCTGGGCAGTTTTAAAAAGGGGTTTGGGACAACATTTTGCAATCATCCGACAATAACCTCTGTCTGACTTTCTCAAAGAACACAAAGTTTATCAACGAAGCACATTTATATTGGGTATTTAATCTTTGAGTGCAATAAATAATGATAATTGTAAGAGTTCGGTTTCATTTGATATAACATTACATTAAAGTACTTTATAACGTGATCATACGGTTTTGTAAACATTGCAGACACTTTTAGCATCGTTGATGATTATTTTCATTTTCAGAGCGTTCACTCGCGAAAGAGAAATCACGAGAGTGTTGGGCCACTCGCGTGGGCTATTTCTTAAGTAAAGGCATCATGCCTGAAGTCACAAAACAGGCTAAGTCATGCAGATTGTGATACATACACCTACCATGTATCACTCAGCAAGGAAAACTACATCAAATACCCTTGAATAAACTGCCTTGAATACTATTTTTAGACTGGGGCAGTTTGAGCCAGTCTATTTAAGGATCATACCTCATAGAACTCCATTGCAAATAAAGACACAGAGCTAACTTTAGAGAAAATCACTAGTTTAATATGCTGAAAATGACAAGAGTCAGAACCCAACCTCAAACCTCAAAGTGAAACTTCACTAGCCATGCTGTGAAACAACCCCACTAGCTCAAAAAGCAGAATCATGTCCGACTCCTTAATCCATACATTTTTCTCCCCGAAGGGTGGCATGAAAGCTGTCATATGGACTGACGTGCTGCAAGCAGCCATAATGACTGTTGGCATGGTTACTGTCATTGTATTTGGAGTGAGTGAAGTTGGAGGTTTAGGTAATGTGATGGAAATTGCTGCTCGTGGAAAAAGGACTGTGCTGAAGTGGGTCATTTTAAAAGTCCATTTTTATATTTTTTGATAATTTTTTTTATTCTCATATCATCATGAGTATAATTTTCTTTTCATGATTTTTCTTTATGTCAATTTTCCTCAAAGACACGATATTTAATCATGGAGCTATTTTGATACTTCGATAGAAGGTGCTGCAATTTTCTCTAATCTCTAATGTTATGGCTTGAACTGTAAAGATTTCAAATTTTTGTAGCCCCATCTGAACAGATTACCCTCTCAAAACATTTACATAATTAGCTGTTGTCTGCTGTTGCTCGATAGAGTGCTTCGTCGCAAATTTTCAAACTTTGTTTCGATACTGTAATTTGAGATTTATTCGGTGCTATTTGTTAATCAATGTTTTTTCCAAACTTGCTTTAAATGCAAATGCATCCAGTCAGGTTTTTATCGACTTTCTTAAGCGATTGAAAATGCATTTGATTTTAGCTGGGACCCAGACCCCACTGTTCGCAGCACTGTCTGGACATATGGTATCGGTGGCATGTTTGCACTGCTGCAGAACTGGACAACCTCTCAAGTCTCTGTGCAAAGATTCCTGTCTGCTGCTTCGTTGCAGCATGTAAAAAAGCATGTATTCTGTTCGATTAAATTTTAACATGTCTAACGCTCTGTTCGTCTACTTTATAAATTTTAATAAATTATAAATAGATTTTTCTAGGCCATCAAATGACGGTCTTTTAAACAAATGTTAGGACTTGATTCAACTGAAACATTTGTCGTTGCACTGTTAAATCATCTAAAAGTATTCATATCATTTTTCAATGGTTTAACGGTAATGTAGCATTAATGCTCATATCATCAAGGATCCTGTTATTATGATGACATTAATATTATTCATTGCATAGTTAGTGATAAACTAAGAATTTTTTCTATACTGTCCTACAATTTTCCTTTGATCGGCAATGCTCCTCAACTAAGGAAGGCTAAATGATAATGGATCATGATAATGGCAAAGTTTGTCAAATCCATAAATCAATGATATTCTACCTTGCAATAAAAACTCAACAAAATCTTCTGCCTTGCAGGGCGCTTTACATAAACATCATTTACCTGATAATCGCGGCCTTCATATGCTGCTCTGCCGGACTGGTGGCCTTTGCTGTGTTTGCAGATTGCGACCCTCGCAGTGCCCGACTGATTGCAAGCAATGATCAGGTGGGTCTTTGTTTTCAATGTTGAGACGATACGGGGTTTCAGAAGGCCTCTAGACAGGGGCAGAAGGGGCAAAGAAATTTTAGTGTTTTACTTATTTGGTGCTCTATCAAAAGCAGGATGGATTTCCAAAGCTTTTCTTTAAATAGCATACCAAGATTAACACATTTTCACTCGCTACGTAAACAGAAGTTGTTTTAGATTCACAGCTTTTAATTTTACCGGCAAACAGAATCACATTATTATATAATGATCCATTGGAGATAAAAAGACCTTATATGCATTAATTGTTTACAAATGTTTGTATCACTCTGTGTCCATCTGTTAAAGGTAATTCCATATTATGTTGTAAGCAGACTGGGTCGTTTTCCTGGTGTATCAGGACTCTTCATGGCTTGTTTACTGAGCGGAGCCTTGAGGTAAGAAAGTAGCCCTTGTAGTCACTTTGTAGTCACTTTGTAGTCCCTTTTGTAGTCACTTTGTTGTCACTTTGTTGTCACTTTGTTGGTACATTTTAGCTAGGAGTTTAACAGATAAAAAATTTACAAGTGTTGGCACTCTAAGACCCAGCTGTCTATCTTTCAAGTAGGGCGGCTGGTGGCAAAATTTCCAGCAATTCTTCTCTTTCCTTCAAGCACCCTTTCTTCTGGACTAAATTCTCTTGCTGCTGTTACTTTGGAAGACATCGTGAAAAGAATCAAGCCAGATATCAAGGACGGGACAGCCACGTTAGTCACAAAAGTTGCAGGTTTGTTGAAGCTTTGATTATCTGTTCTCCCACAAGCCTAGAGCCGCTGGCTTTCATTATGAGGACAATGAATCTGTCTCACATGATTAAATTATCAAATTTAAAGCCTTGTATCCTGAATTTTCGATTTGTTTAAATGATATCATTGTTCCCCAGCCAATATTTAATCTATTCTTTATTTTGATAGTATTTTATCTCTTTTTATGAGAATAGGCTCTTAAATGCACAGTATTTTCACTTTTTATATATATTTTCCCTATCAGTATATTTATCTAAACCATGTTTCTTAAATGACTTTTCAAGCTTGTATGTATGGCGTCCTTGTGGTGTGCATGACATTTGCCATGTCCTATGCCGGGACAATGGTCCTACAGGTATCAATGCAATTTCGTTGCTACATTTATTATATTCTTGTCTTTCCACTAAATTTTCCCTGATATCTTTATTGTTTTTTATGAATGCAACTAGGCCCCTGTCTCGGGAAAATTAATCAGAATATTTAGAAACTGAATGATGATTGAAATGAAATCATTTTAAATTTTTTACTTGGTGATTAGAGTTTTAAATGCTGTTCTGGTAATTGGCGATAGAAAAATTGCAGCTCACCCGGTCCGTCCGTTTGTGGTGCCATGCTGATATTCATGATATTCAAAATCAGCCTATGAATACAACGTTTCTAGTCGAATTTGATGTAGGAATGATAAAGATGATATTCCTGTTTAATTATTCGTGAAGCTGTGCCCTTTTGATTTTAGTAACAGTGTTTGGAATGTCGCCTTTCATTTGCAGCTTGCTGTTACAATTTTTGGAGTACTGGCTTCTCCGCAATTCGCAATGTTCACACTTGGAATGCTTATACCAAGAGCGACATCTGTGGTAAATTACTTTTCTGTAAATTTTACTTTCCTTGCTGAGTGGCTATCTAAAAGTTCACCTCCTCAAACAGCCATTTCTTTCAAGACTTGCCACATTTTATTTTATAAACTTTTTACTTCCAAAGAGCGAACTAAATGCGTCATTATCAAAGAGAACAATCTTAAGTGGTTTTTAATGAAACTGGTATTATTTTAAAAGGCCAACAAACATCTTTTTGGGGGAGATTGTTTAAAATTTTTCATAACATCATTTTTCAGTGTTAAGCCACATAAACATTACTTTCAAATCTGGAAGTTACAGAAAATTTTGCAAAACGACACTGCTTAAAATGTTGTTCTGCTCGCGGATTATCCAGTGCTAATGTTTTGAATAATGTTTGGTGCCTTTTATGTTGGAAAAAAAATTAACAGCAGTATTTGCATAGCTAATATAAGAAGTGAAAACATCCGTTAAAAAAATATGATTTATTTTGTAACAAAGTTACATACCGCTGTAGACTTTGGAAACATTTTTATCATTAACTTTCGCTTTATTGAATAATTTGGTTTTTAAATTAGTCCCTTTTCAAACTGTGGATAAGGGTTTTTTTATTATTGTTCATTATTTTTCCCATAAAAAGATATTCTAGGTTTTCCTCTTTGTAAATCGACTATTGTTGCTCGCTAAAAATCTTTTCAAACTGTCCTGAACTGCCAACTATCATTTAATTCAACAATAAAGTTTGCTTTTAATTTAGGGTGCCTATGTGGGTACAGCCACTGGAGCATTGTCAACAGCTTGGTTGGCAGGTGGGGCTTTGATTTTTCGTCCGGACAAAAAGCCACTGCCGGTTTCTGTTTATAAATGCTGGAGCAATTCAACAATGGGCAACTTTACCACTTGGGAGTCAGGCATCGTGCAAAATAAAATGATGTTAAACAGGTTGGTTTTGGGGTTTCTCTGTGTTATTGCTAAATGCATTGTGTGTTGTTTCCCTGTCCCTTTCTCGTCCCCTCCTTTTCTTTTCTCATCCTTCTTCCATTCTCTTTCCTATCCCTTTTCATTTTCTCTCCTTCTTTTCCTCTCTTTTTTCTCTCCCTTTCTCATCCCTTCTTTTTCCTTTCTCGCCCCTCTTCTTTTCTCATCCTTCTTCCATTCTTTTTCCTATCCCTTTTCATTTCCTCTCCTTCTTTTCCTCTCTTTTTTCTCTCCCTTTCTCGTCCCTTCTTTTTCCTTTCTCACCCCTCTTCTTTTCTCATCCTTCTTCCATTCTCTTTCCTATCCCTTTTCATTTTCTCTCCTTCTTCTCCTCTCTTTTTTCTCTCCCTTTCTCGTCCCTTTCTTTCCTTTCTCATCCCTCTTCTTTTCTCTTCCCTCTCCAATCTCCTTTCCCCTCTCTCTTTTCTTTCCAAGGTAATGTTTGAAGTTCACACAAACCGTGATTTCTCAATGTCTTAGCTTTGGCTGTTTAAGCGTGAAATAACACGGCTCTCTTGCAGCTCTCCTACTGCAAAGTTCCACGCCATTTCATACATGTATTACAGTGTTTTTGGCATCATTGTAACCTTCGGTGTTGGACTCCTTGTCACATTGTTATGCAGTAAGTGCCTTTATCATTCTGTTATTTGTGTATCATTTACTCAAGTCTTCTGCTTTTTCTTTCGAATGTGATTTGGACAACTTTTCTTTGCCTTACTTGTGTGTTCAATTCGAGCAATTGTTGTCGCTAGAGCATGCTTTAAGAGAGTCTTGTCTCATCGCCTCATTTTGCGAATGATGGCTTTGTAAAACATAGGGGTATTTAATACCACCTTTAATATTCCTAGGCAAGTTTATTTGCTCCCAAAATTAGTTATTGATATGTCTTTTCTTGTGAAATAATCAATGTTTACAATTTTGTTTAATTCACAGGCCACGGAGATCCAGAAAAGATAAATCCAGATTTGTTGTATGATTACAAATCAGCCCTTCGTTCTTGTCTGCCCAAATGTTGCAGACGAGAAAAGAAACGGGACTTTTACGATTCAGAACTTGAAATGGAGGTATGAAACTCCTGTAGTTGGGCACCTTTTTGTTTTTGTTTGCAAGAAGCATCTAATTTCACATAATTATGGTTAATTTTTTTCCATTTGAAACAAACCATTTAGAGATAGTTTAGGGTCAACGATACCAATCCAGCCAAACTTACCGCATGTTCTTTTTTACAAGCGATAAGTTATCATGTGTATTTTGTGTTTCTGATTTATTCCTATGTCCGTAGATACCAACAAATTAAAACTTGCTCAATCATTACTTTCTTTCTGCAAAAGCTTAGGTCTTACTTCTTTCTAACCTGTAACTTTTTATTTTTGTAGCATTTTGCAAAGATGTGAGGCCTAGAGGACAGAAGTTAACACGGGTACTATCTTATTTTTATGGTTTGTAATATTTTGGTATGGGGTTGACCTGGGATGTAATATTTTTATATTTAGTTCATCTGGGATGTAATTTTTTCATATTAAGTTCATCTAGGATTTCGGTTTTGCATATTCACTAACAGGAATTTTAAAATGCAAAATTTTATCTTTTTGAATAGATTTGTCAGCTACTTTTTTCTAAAATGCTTAATGTCGTTTGTAGGAGATATTTAGCGTGTAGAAACATTTTATCGCTTTTGAAACAATTAAACAATAAAGTTAATGTAGCATTTTTTTCTAGAGTTTTATTTATTAATATTTTACTTATTACTTGTTGAATAAAAATAAATTTTTTGAAGGCTTTCAACCAAAAAACAATGTATTGAGGACTGTGATGATTTTTCTTTAGAAATCTCTCCTGATAATTTCACATTTATTGAAGAAAATCCTTATATTTTTCATTGAAATATGCTTTTGAGCATGGGCATACTATAGTTACCTTTCGTTGAAAAAACTTAGTTCCCCCAGAATTTAGGTACCCCAAGCAAAAATTGTTTCATTTTTCTTTTAAGCTGGCATTCTGGATGCGATAAACGAGTTGAAGGGGCCCCAAGCCTGTATGATAACATCAGTCTAAATGGATATCAGTCTGTTGACTGGCATTTTATATGATATCTATGCTGTGTAGTTTGAACTTTATGGGATATCGTCAGAATGTTTGATTTACAAAATGTTCGATTTACAAAATATTCAATTTGCAAAATGTTCGAATTACAAAACGTTCTATTTACAAAATTTTCGAATTACAAAACGTTCGATTTACAAAATGTTCTGTTTACAAAATGTTCGATTTACAAAATGTTCGATTAACAAAATGTTCAAATTACAAAGCGTTCGATTTACAAAATGTTCTGTTTACAAAATGTTCGATTTACAGAACGTTCGAATTACAAAACGTTCGATTTACAATATGTTCGAATTAAAAAATGTTCGAATTACAAAATGTTTGAATTACAAAATGTTTGAATTACAAAATGTTTGAATTACAGAACGTTCGAATTACAAAATGTTTGAATTACAAAATGTTTGAATCACAGAACGTTCGAATTACAAAATGTTTGAATTACAAAATGTTTAAATTACAAAATGTTTGAATTACAAAATGTTTGAATTACAAAATGTTTGAATTACAAAATGTTTGAATTACAAAATGTTTGAATTACAAAATGTTTGAATTACAAAATGTTTGAATTACAAAATGTTTGAATTGCAAAATGTTTGAATTACAGAACGTTCGAATTACAAAACGTTCGAATTACAAAATGTTCGACTTGCACAAGTTTTTCAAATATTTCTCTTCGCTTCAGGTTGCTCTACATCAGCTAAATATAGCCTATCAAAAGGGGGATCTTGCTCAAAATACTACAAAAAACAATTGCAAAAGTAGAAATTTGCCACTTTTTCGCCTGAGCCCCCTAGCCCTACACCCCTGATACAGCCTTTAATATAATCGCAACTTGTACAACAATTGTGAATAGAAAAACACTTTTTGTTAACTTATTTGGTCTTTGAATAAAATGCAACACAAAAAAAGATAATAATGTAGTTTTTCGGAGCTCAGCAAGGGGCAGGCCAACATTAGCACTTATTCATTTCATTTCCCCAACATTGGAGGAAATGACTTAGGCCCCATTCACACTACTCCGTTATCATATTATTTTCATATTGGCATGACAATCAAATTTTGGATTGTATTTGAATACAACTTTTGCAGACATAGACTCGTTAAATCGCTCATAAGCTATCTTTTTCATTTCAAGGACTGGGGCCCAATTTCAATGTTCTAAAACAGAATATGATACAATTTATGGACCTTATTTTCTTATCGTGACATTTAACGCTTCAGATTGTATATGAATACAAAAAATTGCAGAAATACACTCGTTATGTCGCTCGAAAGCGACTTCTTTCATTTGGGAGACTGGTACAAAGTTCAATGTTCTAAAGATAGCTGCTAGAGGAATCTTTCAACTTGGGTCTGTTTTCCAACATATTCTACACTTCAAACTACATAAGTTGTGAAGTTTGCACCCTGTTATCATATTCTGCACGATTGTTGCAAGATTGGTGTGTTAACAGAGCTAACTAGCACTTCAGTGGATCACTTCTACATATGAAACGTTTCATGAATCGGTAAGAGAGTTTGTTACATTCGTGACTAGGTTTGGTGTTGTATATAGGTCTTTTGTTTGGTATATCAATTGAAATTTTCAATGGTCAGAGAAATCTTATTGTAAACATGGAAACGAAAGACCGTATCAAAAAGATTTCGTGAATTGAGTGCGTAGGCTATCATTCTCTGTCCCTTGTAGCTGTAGCAAGAATCGTCAACACTTCTCCTGTATGTGCAGATTTCTTGACATACAGAGACTGATTAGCTTTTGTCCATGAGCATCGATGATATCTATGTCCAAATTGTTTTATAGAGAAATAAGCGGTTTGGGTGCGTAAATCAAGCCATGATTGTAAGAAATCCCACATCTGGGGATATGTTCTGAGAGGGTCAGCCATTAGAAGGATGTCTTCGTTTTCAGATTTCCAATCAATTGTATCTTACAGAAAGTCTAAAAACTTTATCTGAATAGTAAAATAACTCAAGCACAAACACCGGGGGAGGGGGGCAGCAGGCTTTGATAGCTCTTTTATCTCGGAAATTTAATCTAGGAAAAATATATATATTAATATGAACACACAACTATTTATAACAATTACAGTATCAATATGTGAAACTAAGCAGGTATCGTCCCGAAACATATTTAAACTTTAAAGAATCATTTAAAATATGTTTGGTAATTCGCTTTTCCCTTTTTTGTGTTTCGTTTTAATTTTTTTGTAGGTTTTTAACTTTTTTACTCACTTAATTTCCTATTTGATTTAACTTTAAAATATTTAAATGTAATTTATGAATTAGATAAATTAAAAATGAAAAAAATGAAAAAAAACTTTGCTATGAATTTTAGTTTTAAAACAGCATCAACATTGCAAAGTTTTCTGGATCTAATAGCATGTTTTGTTTCTAATTTCTAAAATAAGTTTTACATCTATTCATCTTTAAATCGTGCTTACCTTTGTATAAAATTTTGTAAGTTTTACAAAAATCATTTCAACAATGAAAACAAAGATACCCTGGATCGTCTATCCTTTCATAGAAAAAGTAAGAAAAAGAGGTGCCTTCTCACAGCGACGAGGTTGAAACCCTACAGAGGTAAGCGAGGTCAACAAGGTCAGCAGGCTCCACCCTATAAAGCTGCAAACATGGCGGGATTATCTGTTTGGGATTACGTGATTTTCGGTGTGATGCTTGCTTCATCCAGTATTATTGGAATTTATTATGGCTGCAAAGCGAAGGGAAGATCGACCAAGGAATACCTGATTGCTGGTGGCTCAATGCACTGGTTCCCGATTTCCATGTCGCTGCTCGCCTCGTTTTTCTCTGCAGTGGGTTTGATGGGGATCCCAGCCGAAGTTTACACATACGGAGTCAGTTTTATATTCCGTCTAATCGGCTTTGCAACAAGTATGATACTAGCAGCTAATGTATATGCACCCATCTTCTACAAAAGCCGTATCACAAGTGCAAATGAGGTATTTGAACAAGAGTTCATTTGCAGCAAATTTCAAACACAAGTCATTTATGCCAAAACTCGGATTCATTTGATTCAACAACACATTTTACAACACTAAGGTATACTAAGAACCCTAACAAAATCAAGGTTAATACTGTAAAATCATTCAAATTTAGGAAATAGATAAAGTTAATATTCGAGGAGTGTTGTCTGGGACGTTTAACCAAGAGGTCAAGGTGTAAAGTGAAAGGCCACGAGGTGAAGTTAATTGTAAAATACTGAATTCGAATTGTTTTTTTATTTCATCGCAGAAAAGGAAAGAACATAAGTACAAAGTAAGGTGAAGAGATTAAAAAAATAATGTAGGGGGGGGTGGGGGGGAGGGAGGGGTGTGTGGGGTGTGTCTCACAGCACCTTTTGCCAACCAATGAGAATTGTAAAATTCACTGCTTTTTAAAGGCTTTCCAACATCGAAGAACAGTTTCATCAATATTAACATTCCACAAGCAAATATTGTGTAAGGCTTCACAAATTGTGCATATTGTAATTGTTATAGCAATTTCATTCAAGGTCACTTAATAGCTTTCACAGTGGGACTTAATCACCCGCATCATTGTCCAAGGTGCATTCTGTGTAAACCTCACTCTGAAAGTATGCCAAGGAAAGGCCAGGTGTCCCCCAAGGTTGATGTGTAATCATTATGCTGACCAACACACACCCCAATGTTTCTAAGGTAATTTATTAATACATCAGGGATGATGCTGTAGTATGCACAAAAGCTTTGTGCTGCACCACTACCCCATTTAACTAACATTACAGTTTACATCACATGCTGGCAGATGCTTATCTCATGCCAATGCCACACCAAATGACATAACTCCACTTGGAAGATCTTCGGGATATACTACATAGAATGTTCCCTGGATCATTGTCAATTTCTACTTGAAGTGCCACTCATATTAGTGAGTTCTTCTCATATTTTTGTCTTTCTGGAGCATTCCAACTCTAACCAAGGAGCTGCATATCTCTTCTCACTTTTTGTGTGAACTGCTTAGGCTTAGACGTCCTTATGCCAGCAGCCACTAGTTTTGATCCACACAATTTAATGCCTTTGACACCTGCTGGTTCATTTGTCATGTTGAGAAAAAGGACATACAATAAATGCAGGAACCTACAAATTCTTGAAACCAGATCCATCTGTATAACAGAAACATCCTATTTTTCACAATTTCAGCACTTTATCCTTCTAACAGTATTCATTTTCAATGGTAAATGGTGAAAACTCTATAGGTTGATCTCTGATATCAAGATAAAGCTCTTTTATCTTGCTGATATTAATGCACACAATTCTTTGCTTTGTAGTTAGACTGCTGAGTCCTATGATGTCTTTTATCCCAGAGGTTTTCAGGAAATTACCCATTAATTATTTTGTCTGACATAAAAGTGCCAATAAAATCTTGATTAATTTTTCAACAGTCAATCAATTATGAAACCAAATATCCTTTAGTCTGGGGTTGGCAATAATCAAACAGGCTCCATTCTCCAGACATTGAAAGGTATCCAATCTTGATTTTGGAAGTCCTGAATGTGACATTTGTTCAGTCTACTTAGACATTTTTTAAAGTCATTCAATAAGATGATGAATAAAAGTGGTCCCAAACATAACCCTTGAGGTACACCATATGTTATCAGTTTAGATCCTGAATGTTACCCAGTACCTGACCAAAACTATTTTTATTGCTTCAGAAAGATGTGACCCATTCTCCCAATATTCCTTTAATACTGTATGATTCCTCGAATTTTATCACATAGTGTCAATAACCTTTTTCAACACAAGAAATATTCCTATTTAGGGGGTTTGGTTAAAATCTATTCAGGAGTAAGGGTTTGGTTAAAATCTGTTTCATGTTTGATATGAGTATTTTATTTTTTCTGATACTCAAATCTTTCTATTTTCAGTATCTAGAGATGCGATTTTCATCTGGTGTGAGACTTCTTGGATGTATCCTGCTTATACTGCAATATGTAAGTGAGAAATTCTAAAGAAAATAGTGTAGAACAATTGATTTAAGTGGTGTCTGTTTTTGTCATATATAAAAGCTGACATTTTTTTATTTCAAGGCAAAGTTTGTTTTTAGTAAGTCGAAAGGACTATATATTGAAATGCCAGCCACTAAGAAGAGGTTTATTAAAGACGTCTTAAAGTTGCAATGTTAAAAACAGAGTTCCTTTGAAAATATCCTTCTTGTTTGCTTTTGAATTATTGATGGGAGGAGAATAGCTCAAAATGTCATAAAAAGGTTTACAACACATTTTGACAGGTGTTGGTCTAACCCCAACCAAAAGATATTTTTTATGAAGCTATTTCTTCATTCTATTTTGCTAAATGTGTGTCCCAATCCAGCGTATTTTGTTTTTAAGGTGCTTTATTTGTCTGTTGTGCTGTTTGCACCGAGTTTGGCACTTGAAGCTGGTATGTGACAGTTTTTGGCCCATTGAGTCATTTTCTGTGGATATATCTGCACTTGATAGTGTTAGTGCAACCTAAGGGTTGAATATTTAGATCCTATATAAATAGCGTCAGAATCAAGTTGATCGTTTCCCAGATGGATTGGTGCTGTGTTTAAAATATACCTTTTTTATGACGCATTATTATTACATTTCGTTTTCTCCGTTTTGTACAGCATACAATACATTATAGCACACATTTCGCCATTGTTCTCTTTCCACGACAATGGCATTTATAAACCCCCAAGATGATAACCCAAGCCAGGTCTGGATGTCATCTATCCAGCAACGTTTTGGTCTTCCTCGGTTCCTTTTACCATTGGTGTGGCCTTCTAGGATCAATTTAGATAATCCCACTGATTATCGTTTTATATGAACAAAGAATTTCAACTTTCGCTCTTTGATAAAAGCTGATATAATTTTCAGCTTCGTTTGGGATCGTAAATTTTCTACCGTGATATGATCTTGGAGCTTGCGGCCAGTCATGGGTCTCATGATGTGGTTTTGAAAAATTTCGTGCTTAGTAGCTGATGTTCTTCTCCAAATTGCGCATTCTAGCCAGTATAGGACAACTAGGAGAGCGTATGTATTGTAGATTTTGGTCTTTGTGGTTACTGGGGTGCGTTTTGAGGTAAGCAGCTGTTTGTTTTCGTGAAAGGCAGCCCATCATTTGTTAATACGATGGCAAACTGGCATGGAGCTTTCAAATTTGGCAAAAAATCTGAAATCTGAGGTATTCAAAATTCTGAACTTGTTCTATTGTTTCGTTATTTATAAAAAGATGCAATGATTCTTTATCAACTAGTGGGGAAATTTAAGGGCCTGGTAAGGATATTCCCCACTAGTTTGTATGTTAAAAGATCCCCTGAGGTGGGGATAAAGCGGGGTTTAATTACAGTGCATGGATTCTAAGAACAATCTTAAACACTGCCAAGATTTTGCTATTCAATTCTAAGTTTTAAGATCTTACTAACATTATTTTCCATTGTATATCTTTAAAGTATTAAAATAAACAATAATTTGTTTGCTTAGTTGCTGGAGTTCCGCTGGCTACATCTGTATTAGCGACTGGAGTTGTCTGCACGTTCTATACCACATTGGTAAGACAATGTTTTTCATGCCTTCTGCTGCCATAACGGTTTGGAAGGTCTCTTGCATAATAGAATAAGACCTTAAGTATAATTTAGTTTTGCAAATAATGGACCTTTGAAGCCATGTGTACGTTACATGTCTTCTAAACAAATGATCTGCTTTCGTGGATTTGACTTTTTACTTATTTACTTAAATTAAAAACATACACCCAACAAAATACCACATTCCGACGAATCAAGTAAATTTTCGTAGCGTTCAAAGACATGTATTCACCTTGCCAGTGATTCACTTCATTTATTTTTTCTCCCCGAAGGGTGGTATGAAAGCTGTCATATGGACTGATATGCTGCAAGCAGCCATAATGACTGTTGGCATGGTTACTCTCATTGTATTTGGAGTGAGTGAAGTTGGAGGTTTAGGTAATGTGATGGAAATCGCTGCTCGTGGAAAAAGGACTGTGCTGAAGTGGGTCATTTTGAAAGTCCATTTTTTTATTTCTTAATAATTTTTTTGTTCTCATATTATCATGAGCATAATTTTCTTTTCATGATTTTCCTTTATGTTACTTTTCCTCAAAGACACGATATTTAATCATGGAGCTATTTTGATACTTCGATAGAAGGTGCTTTTTTAAGTCTCTCGTGTAATGGCTTGAACTGTAGAGATTTTAAATCTTTGTAGATTACCTATCTGAAAAGATTACCCTTTGAAAACATTTATATAATTAGCTGTTGTTTGCTGTTGCTCGATAGAGTGCTTCGTCGCAAATTTTCAAACTTTGTTTCGATACTGTAATTTGAGATTTATTCGGTGCTATTTGTTAATCAATGTTTTTTCCAAACTTGCTTTAAATGCAAATGCATCCAGTCAGGTTTTTATCGACTTTCTTAAGCGATTGAAAATGCATTTGATTTTAGCTGGGACCTAGACCCCACTGTTCGCAGCACTGTTTGGACATATGGTATCGGTGGCATGTTTGCATTGCAGAGCTGGACCACCTCTCAAGTCTCAGTACAAAGATTCCTGTCTGCTGCTTCGTTGCAGCATGCAAAAAAGCATGTATTCTGTTCGATTAAATTTTTACATGTCTAACGCTCTGTTCGTCTACCTTTTAATATTTTTTTCTAGGCCATCAAAGACGATCTGTTTAACAAAAGCTAGGACTTGATTCAACTAAAATATTTGTCATTGCGCTGTAAAATCATCTAAAAGTATTCATATCATTTTCATTAGCGTAGCATCTGTGCGGCGCGAGCGTAAAAGTTTGTAGACAAATTCTAAAATTCTTGCAACACTTCTGCTGGTAATAAATACGTTGTAGTGTTTATAGTGTAAAGTCAATCATACTTTGTAGTGTTAAAGTCAATCAATGCAAAACATTTCCCGCAATAAATGGCTTCTCTTTCTGATCATGATCAGCATAAAGGGAGCTCCAGCGCAAACATGCCAATTAGCTATTTCTCCAAGTAAACAGATCGTTAAAAATTGTGAAATTCGAAAAATGCTCCAAAGCAGCTTCAGTGAAGCTTCAGTACAGCTCGAGAGAAGGTTCTGAGAGAAGTGAGAATTTTCTGGACTAGAGCTTGCGGTCGGCCTAAGCGCAAGCGTTCCAAAATATTTGATAACCACAACATTTTTCTGCCTATAAACTGCTTTTTGCGAATATTCTTTGCGTGATACATCATTTCGAATCTAACTATTTTTCTTTCTTTACTTTTGTGACTGTTTGAAAGAGAAACATTTTCGTCAAAGTCTATTTGTCATGATCCGCATTCCGTAATTCAAGTCAAAAGGCTTGCCAGTATAGTCAGAATTTACGGACCAGGGCATGCGGTAGACCTGAGCGCAAGCCTTGCCAAATAGTTGATGACTGGGTGGACCGCCGGCCCGCGGCACGCCGAGCCAGTGGACCGCCGCCCGCGGCACGCCCACCCAGTGGACCGCCGGCCCCCGACACGCCAAGCCAGTGACCCGCAAACCCCCCTCCCAAGCCGAGAAGCAAATTAGCAAAGAACCAACTAACGCCATGCCCAACACACAAAACCCCCCTCACACAAAACCCCAACACACACGGCTTCGCCCCCCGCAGAGGCGTGCCCCCCGCAAAGGCGTGACTCCCGCACAAAAGAGGCTCCCGCCAAAAAGAGGCTGTGGGGTGCTCCCCCGCAGAGGCTGCGAGAACCACGCCCTCTGCCATCACAAAATCTTTCCTCAAAAAAATGTGCAAAAAACACTCCTCCTGCAGAATCTCGCGCAAAACACTGCGGCTCCTACGCGATTTTTACTCGCACTCCTGTCACAGGCGCTAGAGGGCGGGGAGGAGAGGGGAAAGAAAAGGTCCCCGCCCTCTAGCGCCTGTGACAGGAGTGCGAGTAAAAATCGCGTAGGAGCGCGAGTGATTTTTGCGCTGAATTCTGCAGGAGTGCGAGTGTTTTTTGCACATTTTTTTGAGGAAAGATTTTGTGATGGCAGAGGGCGTGGTTCTCGCAGCCTCTGCGGGGGAGCACCCCACAGCCTCTTTTTGGCGGGAGCCTCTTTTGTGCGGGAGTCACGCCTTTGCGGGGGGCACGCCTCTGCGGGGGGCGAAGCCGTGTGTGTTGGGGTTTTGTGTGAGGGGGGTTTTGTGTGTTGGGCATGGCGTTAGTTGGTTCTTTGCTAATTTGCTTCTCGGCAACTTCCGCCGAAAAAAAGTTTGTTTCGAGGAGTTTTAGGCAGGAAAGCCGACTCAGATCGAAACGAAAAAGCGATTCCCGCACTGTTCGGGCCAGCCGGGCCAGCCGGAAGAGGAGGGCGCAGGACGGGGAGGAGGGATCTAGGAGGCTATTTTAACAGGCGATTTGTGACCGTCCGACCGCGGGCAGCAGAGCTTGCCCTGATTTGAATTTAGGCATATTAGTATATAGGATTTGCAAGGAACAACTTTCTGAAACCATTACACATGAAAGCATCTTCAAATTTAACAACTCTCGCAGCTCATTATTATCATCTTTATTAACTATAAGGGTAGAAGATGAGCAAAAATTTTTGCTCCTGCTCGCTTAGGCTCTGCAATATGTTAACAATTTCGCAATGTGAAGAGCTCCTCTTTGCGGGAATCCCCAGATGCATCATAGCATCAAAAATTCTTAAATTAGGTGGGCATTATGTGATGCCTTTTCTTGACGAATACAAACATGAATAAAATCTTTTGCAAAACGGTTTTAGCACTAGAAGTTATTGTGAAAAATTTTTGCAAAAAAATTGAGCTTTTTTCAAAAACTTGTCGCATGGGTGATAACATTTTCCTTGGCCCCTTTCACTTTCCAACCTGTGTCAGAGCCTCTGATGCAGAGAATAGACACCTTGAATGATAAGAACTAGAGTACAAATAATTTGTTATTTTCAAAATTAGAATTTATTATCACGATTATCATTAATTACCGCTTGTATTTTTTAAAAGCTGAAATTACGCTTTCATTCATTCAACATTAACCTTACATTATATATTACCGCATGCCTAAGTTCTGCGCTCATGCTACGCCACTGATCATTCTCAATGGTTTATTTCTGTATTTTATGTAGCAGACTAAACTATTTCTACGCTAATGTAACATTAATGTTCATATCATCGAGGATCCTGTTATTATGATGACATTATTATTATTCATTGCATAGTTAGTGATAAACTAAAAGTACTGTCCTGTACTGTCCTACAATTTTCCTTTGATCGGCAATGCTCCTCAACTAAGGAAGGCTAAATGATAATGGATCATTGATATTCTACCTTGCAATAAAAACTCAACACAATCTTCTGCCTTGCAGGGCGCTTTACGTGAACTTAATTTACTTGACGATCATGATCATTATATGCTGCTCTGCCGGGCTAGTGACCTTTGCTGTGTTTGCAGATTGCGACCCTCGCAGTGCCCGACTGATTGCAAGCAATGATCAGGTTGGTCTTTGTTTTCAATGTTGAGACGATGCGGGGTTTCAGAAGGCCTCTAGACAGGGACAGAAAGGGCAAAGAAATTTTAGTGTTTTACTTATATGGTGCTCTATCAAAAGCAGGATGGATTTCCAAAGCTTTTCTCTAAATAGCATACCAAGGTTAACACATTTTCACTCGCTACGTAAACAGAAGTGGTTTTAGATTCACAGCTTTTAGTTTCACCGGCAAACAGAATCACAGTATTTTATAATGATCCGTTGGAGATAAAAAGACTTGATATGCATTAATTGTTTACAAATGTTTGTATCACTCTGTGTCTATCTGTTAAAGGTAATTCCATATTATGTTGTGAGCAGACTGGGTCGTTTTCCTGGTGTATCCGGACTCTTCATGGCTTGTTTAATGAGCGGAGCCTTGAGGTAAAAAAGTAGCCCTTGTAGTCACTTTGTAGTCACTTTGTAGTCCCTTTTGTAGTCACTTTGTTGTCACTTTGTTGTCACTTTGTTGGTACATTTTAGCTAGGAGTTTAACAGATAAAAAATTTACAAGTGTTGGCACTCTAAGACCCAGCTGTCTATCTTTCAAGTAGGGCGGCTGGTGGCAAAATTTCCAGCAATTCTTCTCTTTCCTTCAAGCACCCTTTCTTCTGGACTAAATTCTCTTGCTGCTGTAACTTTGGAAGACATCGTGAAAAGAATCAAGCCAGATATCAAGGACGGGACAGCCACGTTAGTCACAAAAGTTGCAGGTTTGTTGAAGCTTTGATTATCTGTTCTCCCACAAGCCTAGAGCCGCTGGCTTTCATTATGAGGACAATGAATCTGTCTCACATGATTAAATTATCAAATTTAAAGCCTTGTATCCTGAATTTTCGATTTGTTTAAATGATATCATTGTTCCCCAGCCAATATTTAATCTATTCTTTATTTTGATAGTATTTTATCTCTTTTTATGAGAATAAGCTCTTATATGCACAGTAAATTCACTTTTTTTATATATTTTTCCGATAAGTATATTTATCTAAACCATGTGTCTTATTCTCTTCTCAAGCCTGTATGTATGGCGTCCTTGTTGTTGGCCTGACTTTTGCCATCTCCTATTCTGGGACAATGGTCCTTCAGGTATAGCTACAATGCATTTTCATTTTTTTGCCATCTTATTCTTCCTTGCAACTTTTATGATTACCCAAAATACATCTGGATTCTGCTGTTGTTATGAATATATGCATATTTTTATAAATATATAAGAATACAAAAGAATATAGAATTTATAAGGTGAACGCCGATGAAAATAAATTCATAGTAAATATTTTACTAGGTGTTTTATGTTGTAAATTCTATTCTGGTCATTGTTCAAGGCTCCGATAATAGGCCTACGTTCGTATCTCTTACCTAAAGATGAAGCTTTCTTACAGAAAATACAGAAATCGATCATTTCTGGTCATTGATAGAAAAATTGCGTCTGTTATTGATGCCATGCTGAAATCCATGTTCAGAAACTGCCTTTAAAAAGTGAATCTAAAGTTTTTTGCTACATTCCTATTTTATTGTCGGTGAAGCTGCGCCTTTATGAAGTGAAAGCATTTGTCATTTACAGCTTGCTGTTTCAATTTTTGGAGTAGTGGCTTCTCCACAATTTGGAATGTTCACACTTGGAATGCTTATACCAAAAGCGACATCTGTGGTAAATTTATTTTCTTTAAAAGTATTTCCTTGCCACATTTATGTTATTCACTTGTGAATTTATATTTTTCAGGAGTTTTCAATAAGCTGGTAATATTTGAAAAGGCAAACAAACATCTTTCAAATTGAATGTTTCAAATTGTTTCTTCAAGTCATTCTGTAGTGTTGAAGTACTTAAGCAGGTCTATCAAACCTGGAACTTACAAGAAATACTTACAAGAAGTTTCCGGTGGAAATAAAATTGTTCTGCTCGCGAAGTACCCAGTGTTCTCGTTGTTGGGCAATCTGGTGCAGGGTGCCTTGGAAAATACTGAAGTAGTACATGCTTACCTCAAACAAAGGGGAACAAAGTGGCATACCGCTGCAAACATTTCTATGATTAACTTTCGCTTTTTTAAATAGCTTGGTTTTCAAGTTAGTACCTTTTCCAACTGTGGATAAGGACTCTTGTCATTATTGCTCATTATTTTTCCGTTAATCAATATACCAGGTTTTCCTCCTTGTATTTCGACAGTTGTTGGTAGGTAAAGATTTTTACCAGCTTTCCTTAACTGCAAACTATCATTTAATTCAACAATAAAGTTTTCTTTTAATTTAGGGTGCCTATGTGGGTACAGCCACTGGAGTATTGTCAACAGCTTGGTTGGCAGGTGGGGCTTTGATTTTTCGTCCAGACAAAAAGCCACTGCCGGTTTCTGTTTATAAATGCTGGAGCAATTCAACAATGGGCAACTTTACCACTTGGGAGTCAGGCATCGTGCAAAATAAAGTGACGCAAAGCAGGTTGGTATTGGAGTTTCCCTTTTTTGTGCAGAATGCATTCTATTTTGTTGTTAATGTGATCTGCTTCAATTCTGACAAAGCCTGAAGATATGCGCATGTTTGCTAGCCTCTGAAAGATGCCATTATCCGTCATTTTTCTCACAAGACATTCAAAACGGGCCAAATGCTGTTTTTTAAATATTCTAAAAATCCACACAACTATTCAAAGAGTTAAACATATCTAAAATATTTTCAACTTTGATTGCAGACAAATTATTTTACAAATACCAAGTATGCACCCTTCTGTGACAAAAAATCCCAGTTTAGAGAGATTTTCTCTTTCTTTTTTTCTCCATTTCCTCTATCTTTCCTCACTCTTTCCTCTCTCTCCTTTATCTCTCTTTCTTTTTATTCTATCTTTCCTTACTCTTTCTCTTTCGTCTCTTTTTCTCTGTTTCTTTAATTTGCCCCTCTTCTTCCTTTTTCTTCCCTCTCTCTTTTTTCTTCATTTATCTTCCTTCACTCCATTTCCTTTCCCTTTTCTCCTCTCTTTTCTCTTTCTTTCCTTTCCCTCAATTTCTTTCCCCGACCTTTCTCTTTCCTGTCTTTTCTTTCTCTTTCCTCGTTTCTCCTCTTTTTTCCCTCTAAAAGGCTAAAAAAAGACTTGAGGCAAGCCCGAAGAAATGTCTGAAGGGTCCCTAGATTGTTATTTTTGCATGTCTTTGCTTGTTCCACCTCCTGTAGCCAAGTAAATGTTGTTTAAGTTCTACGCGTGAAATAACACCATTCTCTTGCAGCTCTCCCATTGCAAAGTTCCACGCCATTTCATACATGTATTACAGTGTTTTTAGCATCATTGTAACCTTTGGTGTTGGACTCCTTGTCACATTGTTATGCAGTAAGTGCCTCTATCATTCTGTTATTTCAACTGTGGAAAATTTTTCTTTGCCTTACTTGTGTGTTCAATTCGATCAACTGTTGTCGCTAGAGCATGATTTAAGAAAGTCTTGTCTCATCATCTCACTTTGTGAGTGATGACTTTGTAATACATAGGGATATTTAATACCACCTTTAATGTTCCTAAGCAAGTTTATTTGTTAATATCCCAAAATTAGTTATTGATATGTCTTTTCTTGTGAAATAATCAATGTTTACAATTTTGTTTAATTCACAGGCCACGGAGATCCAGAAAAGATAAATCCAGATTTGTTGTATGATTACAAATCAGCCCTTCGTTCTTGTCTGCCCAAATGTTGCAGAAGAGAAAAGAAACGGCACTTTCACGATTCGGAACTTGAAATGGAGGTATGAAAATCCTGTAGCTGGGAACATTTTTGTTTTTGTTTGCAAGCAGCATCCAATTTCACATAATTATTGATAATGTTTTCCGTTGAAACCATTTACAGATAGTTTAGGGTCAGCGACACCAATCCAGCCCAAATTACCGCAAGTTTTTATTTATACGCTAGTTTTTGTAATATGTATTCTGCGTTTTTGCTTTATTCATAATGTTCGTAGGTACTAACAAATGGTGACTTGCTCAATCATTCCTTTATTTCTGTATTTTTGTAGAATTTGACAAAGATGTGAGGCCTGGAGACAGAAGTTATCACCGATACTATCTTATTGATACTATCGATACTATCTGGTTTGTAATATTTTCATATCAAGTTCACCGGGGATGTAATATTTTTATATCTATTTCACCTGTGATGTAATATTTTATAACAAGTATACCTGGGATGGAATATTTTCATTTGAAGTTCACCCCAGATTGAATTTTTGCATATTGACTTGCAGGGTTTTAAAATGTAAAGTGTTGTTCTTTAAATGGACTTGTCAGCGATAATTTTTTGTAAAATGCTTAATGTCTTATGTGGTAAGATTTAATGGGATGCTTGTTTGAAACGCTAGATTAGAAACACACACAGTTTGTCAGAAACTAACAAGATGTGTTGCCATCATTTAATTATGAATGGCTAGTACTTTTTGTTTAGTAATTTAAGAGTGAAGGCTAAAAAAAGTTTTATCAATTTCATTATTTAAGGACGGTTTATCAAATTTTTATCTATCAGGAAGGTCTTCAAATCAAAATTTAAGGCCAGATATTTATTTTTTATGCTGAATAATTTTTTGTCATGGAAGATTCCAAGTTTAAAGCACAAACTCTTACTTTATCTAATACCTTATCAAGAGCAGGGCAATCTTCCTATAATTGCACCACATACAATTTTATTGCTAGCTAGAATCTCTTTGTTTCAAAAGGCAATAATAATATCAATGCATTTACCACATTTGAAGGGTATTAATTAATTAAATATTATTTATTTTTGTGATTTTACCTTTCACCATTCTTGAATTTGTAGAATTTTATAATTCTTTAGCAACACAAGGCTTAAACTGTTTTATATTGTTTTTTTGTAATTGAAAGCACCACTGTCAAACATTCTTAGAGAACTGAATAAAGTTCCGACGCTTGGCATCATGTTAAAACATTATTTTTGAAACTTTCACCTCTTATCCTAAAAAAAACACTATGATTGATGGGGCATAATCAAAGATTTAAAAGACAGTGATTTGAAATTCTGTGCTATTTTCCTGTTTCTCAGGTGGTTTTTAAATATTGACTGATTTTGTGTATTTAGACATATTTCACAATCCTCTTTCAGGTTATGTGGTTCATATTCAAAAATTCTAACAAATTTTTTAAGGTCATTACTTGACGTTTCTAATGGTTATTTAGTTCGTAAATAACCATTAGAAACTAAGAACAGGATAGATACAGGGTAAAAGATTATAAGCCACATATTTAGTGCTTAAACTCTGGCTTAAATTGAAAAGATGCATGATATCTAGCAAGCGTTTCTATAAAAACTCCAAAGTGTTCACTTGTTTGTCTTTATCACAAATCAAAAAAGCAAAAAAAATTCACAACAAAATGCTTCATGGAAATTATTAAATGTAACAAAAATTAAATATGAACGAAACAAATTTGACAATTTCCCCACAGATAAAGCGTTTCACTCCATAGCATTCATAAACATTCAATTTTTTACATTTTATATTAATTTTACAATTTTTATCTGGGTGATAAATCTTGAAGGTCCTTGTAAACTACAGGGTTCTCATACTGAACTGTAGCAGGGAAAGTTTCTCTAACTTTTAAGCTCTTGATTTGTTGCATTTCAGCAAACTTAAGCTGTTTTTGCGAAGCCAACTCTGTTATTTCTGAGGTCAAATTCTGTGTAGTATGGCCCAATAAAGACATCTCCTAAGATCCACAAAGGTCCACGTGGGGGAGGAACATCCATTCCTATAAATCCACTTAAGCAAATTGTTTTTCCAAGTTGAGTTACCTAAAAAATATAGCAATCAAGTTTTAGAAACAAAAGTTAAAGTTGGATGTGACAAAATACTAGAATTTTCTTTTAGAGATTTATTGAAAGTAAATTGTGAAGCAGAAGATGCACTACAATATATAGAATATTTTCGAACCATGTCATATCTGTGCTGGTGCTCATCAATTACTAAGTACCCACCATAGCATCTTTTCTTCAGTTAACATTGAATTATGTTCCTGCAGCATTAGCCAGCTACTTGTTAATGAGCAAATAGATGCCAGGTCATTATGGCAACATTCAGATATATATATACATAGCACATTCAGAAGTTTAAGTTTAAAAACGCTTCCAGTATTTGAAAGCTGGTTATGATGAAATCACTAGGAAGTACCTTCAATACATAATCATTTCCAGTCAGGTCAAATTTGTGTCCACCAATAACAAAGGTGATGGTTGGCAATGAGCTGACCTTGTCACAGTCAACAGTGTACTAAAAAATAAATTTTCAGTTAAGTTTAGCATTAACATTGTGGACAGTTTAGCAATAATATACAAACTGTAAATTTTTAAGACAAATGTAGAATTTAATAATGCTTCTTGCAACCTAAGATGAGCAAAATGGAAAAATACCTTACTCAATTTTTTTACTTTGAAGTGATCACACAATGACAATAACAGAAAAAAATTATTGACCACAACTTTTGGTACTGCTATCAAAGCAATTTGAGCAAACTGAATAATTCATATTTGTAAAGATGTTGCTTATTGGCATTTTGAAAAATGTTCCCAATATACACCTGAAAACCCAAATAAATCTAGAAGTACACTTTTCTAGTTTTTGTACCTCTCCAGCAGCCAAAGGAGTTGCACCGATCTTCTTGTTAAGATCAGTTATCTCCTCAGTTGGTCCAGCCAACAAAGATGTTCCTGTGTCTGCAATAGCCTGACATCCTTTTGTACAATATGAATTTTCCCCTCCAAGCATAACCCTGAAATATGTCAATTGTTGAAATACGTTCAGTGCTGATGGAACAAAAGTCACAATGAGAGGGGGGTGGCTATTTCCTGAACTTCAAAATTCCTTTATAAGAGAGAAATACATGGGAAACAATGAAATGGTGTCGTTTCCCATTCATTACCTCTGTAACTGATTGTATGAAGGTGGCTGGAGCCAGTAGCTCCAGATGTTTTCAATGGGCATATAGCATTTATAAAATATAAATTTATTTCTCATTATTGGTAAATCTGTCTAAACAAGCACCGGCAAAGTCATTTAAAAAACATTCACGTTTAAAAGACATACCCATCCATTTTGAACTGCCAGTATCCTTTTTGTGTAACAGGAGTATAAGTGAAGTTTCCTTTATAATATTTTGGATCACTGCCACCCAGCATAATCTCACCACCTTTGGTCTCTTTAGCATCTCTAGAATAAGCAATTGTGATATATCTGTAAATATTAATTTGTTAGTCAATTTTCAACCAGTTAAGACAAGGGCCAAGGTGCCTCCCTCTTATGAATTAGATTCAGGCTGGTTGTAACATGGATTTCATCTTTGCATACAATTTCTAAAATTATGTTTTATAAGTAAACGAAAGAAAACTTGACTCATCCTCAGGAATGTATTCTTAAATAGAAATTCCAGCTTGTAAAAGGATAATGTGCAGCAAATTAATTCAGTTAATTAAAATTAATTCAGTTAATTGAAGTTTTTGAAATACCTGTTCAAGTAGAATGAAAACACTGGTTGCTTGACTAGTCCTTGAGTAACCATGTTGTAAAATGGTGGAACCACACCATCAACTGCAATTTGTTCATATCCCATTCCAAGGATTCCATCAAATTTGGCAGCAAGGAAGGTCATACCTGGCAGGCCTGTTGCCTCTCCAAAAACTTGATCCTTTATTGCCAAAGTGGCAAAGGTAACAGTGTCCTTGCTTAGGTATCCAGAGCAGCTTCCAGTTCCATACCTGATGGCAAATTTGGTTCCATTTGCCTTGTATGTGCTTGATTTAGAGCTGTCATACTTTTCATGGAGCAAACATGCCAAGGCATGACATTTTGATGATGGGACCCACAAATTTGAAGATCCAGTATCAAAAATTGTTTTGAATGGTTGGCCTGGGGTTCCAATTGTGATGTCACCATAATATTGGGCCTAAAATTAAAACAAAAGATACTGAACTTTGATTTCCTGACCCCATTTTGGTTCATTGGCAAACTCTGTCATAACAGCAGGGAAAGGGGGCTAAGTTATAATACAAAAATTAAATGTCTTTTAATATTATTTCAACAGTTAAAAGTTTATAAAACTGACAGATTGGTGAATGTATGGTTGCAAGTGGAAATTTTAGTGACAACAGTAATCCCCACATCTTCCACCATAGATCCTAAAATATCTTTGGCTTCTTGTGAGAAAGGCTGACATTCAATATTAACCTTAAATAAATTTCGGGGGAAATTCCCATTTTCAACTAGCTCTTGATGATATGACGATATTCAACTAAATGCACCCTCCCTCTTCAATCTTGCACATCTGATATCTGATTGTAAAATGTAGCATAGAATGTAATTAAGGTAGCAAAATACTAGAAAAAGCTGGATTCTCACATCTAAGTAGTTATGCAAAAACTCTGGGGCTTCCTTCAGTTGTCCATACTTTGCTTCAAACAGTGTTGTGTCACCACCAACACTTGTAATGATCTGCCTTGGTGTTGGCATCCGAGTCAGAGGGATTCTGTGGACAGATAAATGACCATATGACCACAGGTATCATCAATATATTTATATACAACTTCATTCATCATATTGAAATATTAAAATTTTTTAAGATTTACATCTATAGATAACTAAGACACTGAGGCACTTAAGATAAATATTTGCCTAATGAAAGAGGGATTAGCAACTTAGAACTGTCCGGTTATATCCATCAATATTGTATAAATGTAGTTATATTTGAGATAATTGTAAAGTATATTATAGCAGTATACAAATGGACATAAAAACTTAGGTCTACACTTCATCTCCACATTGATTATTATATATATCTTTCACAAATACCAACCCTTGTGAAAAGGACCAATTCAGATGGGACATCTTGATTAGGTGGGAGTATTGTCCCATCTAAATTGTGTATTTATCTGTGCATGTGTATTTTAATTTCAAGCATATAAAGTGGCCTTATTGAATCTCTGAAAGGACATGGATCTGCCCAGCCAAACAGAAGGCTTTTTCACATCTAATCAGGTTCTCTGGTTTTGAATTAAGGGAACTGCGTGATTCAGCCTTGGCTTTCAAATTTGCCAAATTTTAATTCTATATAGTAAAAATATATAAATACTTTACCATTAAAATATATTTATTCTTCAAACTCTTCCTATTTTAACTTGGGATGTTTTTCTAGTCAATTTATTTTTCAAAACATCAGAAACTATCCAAAAATGACACCAGGGGAAGGGAATTAAGGGGTTCCTCAAAAGTATGCAAGCATGACAAAAAGAAAGTTGTCCTGGCAAGGAAAGTGTCACATTAGACAGGAAAGGAAAATAGGTTATTTGAATAATAGCACAGGAAACAATTATAGCAATCTTGTGCCTGCCTTTTTCATAAATTAACATTGTTAAAAAAATTGAGGAAACTAACTTCATTTAATGTTCTACTATTACCGCAAATGGATATGCAAACGTTGGTTTCTTGGACTGATATTGGCCTGACAAAACTTTAAAACAAAAAAATAGCTACAAAAGTTTTAAAATTCAACCTTATCACAAGAAGCCGACAGAGACAAACAAGGCATCTTTTTCTGGTGTCGGCAACTGTCAGTTTTTGTGACAATTCGTTTGGAAAGGCAATATAAAGAAAGGATCATTCGTTTCAACACCAACCAAAGGTCAGGTGTTCAAGACTGGACGCAAAACGCCCTTGCTGCCACCTGTTTGTCGAGGGACAAAGTAGAAAGCATTCCTGCTTGCAAGTGTTGTCAAGCTACCGACGATATTTTAAAATCATCAACTTAAGATATAATTTTCACGTCAATAAATTGGATACGAAAAATGCACTGAGGTTCGAAAGTGATTTTCATGTGGTGACGAATCATGCTTGGCTCAGACAACACATGCAGGAACAAATCTTAAAACTGTTTCTCCATCACAAAGAGACTATTATCTGTATATGCAGTAAATTTCTTCGCATTGGTTGTTTTGAGATAAGATAACACGGAAGTTTTCGAGGTGGCCTGAAGTCGGGATCATTTGGAGCATCAACGATATGCACCTCAAACACCCCGGCTGCGGCTAAAAAACACAAATAAATCGAGCGGAGGAAAATTTAAGCCAAGTTAAGTCTAAAAATACCTTATAAGACCATGGCAAACAGCCAAGAAAGCCAGTAGGACAATCACTTTAGAACCAACCATCTTTTGTCTAGAACTCTTCAAACGAGAGGGCTGTAAAGCATCATTTGAGGCTTTTATCCTAACCAGCAACAAACCATGGCCCACGATGATTGGTTGACATACATAAAGCAACAATCTGATTGGTTGTTAAATGTCATATGATAGCGACGATTTGTCATTCAAATATCAGCAGACATGAGGGTCACGAGACCCGTTCTTTGGAAATGTTACAGGGTGACCAAAAAATCTTAAAGCATTTCCCTCCATCTTAGTTCAAAGGTTGTTTTTGCCCGCAACTCGCGCGCGACAGCGCGCGAGTGAAGGGCTTATAGTCTGCCCCGCGTATAAGTAGCATATGGAAGCTTCAGTTCATGTTGTCAGCACTTTGTCAGCAGATTTTGTCACTTTTCTGCTGCCATGACAACTGTCAATCAATTTAATTGTCAATCAATCGGCTTTGTCGAGGAGGTCGTTAACCGCCACCTCTTTGTGCGGAAGGGAACTATCTTCGGAGCGTTGCTCTGCCAAGACTCTGCTAAGGCCTTCGGTTTTTTTGGCACGAAAACGGTGCTGCATCACAGCTCGGTTCTCATAAAAACCCAAGATGGTGTATTCTTCGAATATCCTGACCTAAATTTTCAAAACAATCATTATCAAGGAACTAATTGTTTGCGGGCAGTACTAGCAAGAGCTATTTCTAGTAATATTAGTGGAGGCTCTTAAGTCACAAAAAAGGCTCAATCATGCAAATCGTGATACCAGCATGAAATTTCGCACACCTACCCAGTTTGATGCGCTGAAAAAGATAGGGGTCAGACCCCAACTCAAATTTACCCCTGAATGCTATTTTTAGACTGGGGTAGTCGGACCCAATCCTTTTGAGGAGCATTCATCATAACTAAACTCCAAATAAAGATATAGAGCTAAAATTTGGTAGAGATACATAGTTTGGTGTGCTGAAAATGATAAGTGTCAGACCCCAACTCAAATTTACCCCCGAATGCTATTTTTAGACTGGGGTACTCGGACCCAGTCTATTTGAGGAGCATTCATCATAACTAAACTCCAAATAAAGATATAGAGCTAAAATTTGGTAGAGATACATAGTTTGGTGTGCTGAAAATGATAAGTGTCAGATCCCAACTCAAATTTACCCCTGAATGCTATTTTTAGAATGGGGTAGTCGGACCCAGTCCATTTGAGGAGCATTCATCATAACTAAACTCCAAATTAAGATACAGAGCTAAAACTTGGTAGAGATTCGAAGTTTGGTGTGCTAAAAAGGGTCAGATCCCGACTCAAACTTGCCCCTAAAAGCTATTTTTAGAATGGGGTAGTCGGACCCAGTCCATTTGAGGAGCATTCATCATAACTAAACTCCAAATTAAGATACAGAGCTAAAACTTGGTAGAGATTCGAAGTTTGGTGTGCTAAAAAGGGTCAGATCCCAACTCAAATTTACCCCTGAATGCTATTTTTAGAATGGGGTAGTCGGACCCAGTCCATTTGAGGAGCATTCATCATAACTAAACTCCAAATTAAGATACAGAGCTAAAACTTGGTAGAGATTCGAAGTTTGGTGTGCTAAAAAGGGTCAGATCCCGACTCAAACTTGCCCCTAAAAGCTATTTTTAGATTGGGGTACTTGAACCCAGTCTCCTAAATGTTTATACAAGAAGTCTACATCGGAAAAAATAAAGAGCTGTAAATTTTTACAGGTACATATGTTGATGCGCTAAATAAGTTAAGAAACAGATCCTAACTCAGATCTGCCCGCAAATGCTATTTTTGGACCTAGTCTAGCTGTCACTTGATGTTTGCTTTAAGAAAGAATTTTCTGGTGGTGATTTCTCTCTCTTTATTGTAATAACATTCAACAATAATAGCGGATAAGAAGGTGTCGACGTGATTCGTTGTCTTCGAGCAAATTTAGGTGTTTCGTTGCGTAATCACTAAACGGAACAGCTCAAAAGCTTTCACAACGAGAGAAAATTTACGATATCTCTGGGATGCTTTCTTTCTACGAAAAATGTTATGTCGAAGATAAAGTTCGAGCTGGTAGATCTGTCAAGATCATTTGAAAGAATCCAATCGAGCGATAAAACAAACTGGAACCTTTGTTTTATTTGCCAAGAGGAAACTAACAATAGATTCGAGTGTCCAGCAAACAGTACACATGCAGACAAGGAAGCAGGGTATGCAAAAATTGCACAACAGTTAGAAAACTTTTCTTCGATCGGTGGATTGCCCGAATCATTGCAGGTTAGAATAGAAAGAAAAGATTTATTGCAATTATTTAGACAATATAACGCAAAATTTCACAAAACATGCAAAAACAAATATGACAATTATCATTACGAAAGAAATTGTAAACGAAGGAAACTTTCAAATCATGAAAGCTTGCCAGAAACGAGTGGTGTAACACGAGGTACCCGGTCACAGTTTTGTGCCGAAAATTTTCGTCAATGTTGTTTCTTTTGTGATAAAGAAGACTCTGAGAATAACTTATCCAGTGCTCAGACATTTGCGTTAGATAAGCGAGTTCGAGATGCTGCAAAAGTTCTCTCTGATGAAAAGCTATTGGCGAAGTTAAGTGAGGGTGACCTTGTAGCAATAGAGGCTCGGTATCATAAATCGTGTTTGGCTGCTCTTTACAATCGTGTTCGAAATGTAACGAAAAATAACCAAGAAACAGGCGACGAGGACGAAATCGTTTCAGGTATTGTCCTTGCTGAAATTATCAGGTACATTCGCGAGACATATTGTACAGAAGAAGGAATCCCTGTCTTCAAACTGAGTGACCTCGTTACTCTGTATCGAGACAGGCTTGGACAGTATGGTGGGTCAAAAAGTCTGATTGAAAATGTTCACAGTACAAGGCTAAAACAAAACATTTTAGATCATATTCCAGACCTGGGGGAGTACAAGAAAGGCAAACACGTGTTTCTCACGGTCAAAGAAAAGTCTGGGCAAGCAATTCTAGATGCATGTGCTTTCAGCAATGAAGATGATGGTATGTGTTTAGCAAGAGCTGCTACGGTCATAAGGAAACAGATCATTGCTTCCTGTAAAACAAACTATTCTGTTCTGGCTCCAGCAAGCGAAAGTAGTTCTGTTCCTCATTCACTTTACAGCTTGATATGTATGATCATGAACGGTGGTGACATTGATAACAAAGTTTCAATTAAGGAGCAAACAGCTGCTATGTCAATCGCACAGCTTATCAAATTCAACACAGCAAAGACAAAACGAAGAAACATTCCGCAGACAGATTTCGTTCGACACTCGAAAGAGAATGAAACACCATTTCCTTTGTATCTAGGCTTGATGCTGCACTCGAAAACGAGAAAGAAAGGCTTAGTGAACAATCTTGCTAGATATGGGCTCAGTGTTTCTTATAAAAGAGTCCAAAATGTACAGCTAGCAATCACCAAACAGCTTTGCAAATTGTATCAAAATGAAGGAGTTGTTTGCCCACCATCCTTGAAAAAAGGAATTTTCACATCAGCCGCTATCGACAACATAGACCACAACCCGTCCTCTACAACTGCGACGAAGGCTTTTCACGGTACAAGTATATCAGTATTCCAGCATCCTGAACAAGACATTGAGCCAGAAATATTCAATCTAGAAAGAGGGATAGAAGAAATGAATATAAAACTTCAGTTACCGGCGTACTACACCGAAATTTTCTGGACGAAAACCGAAACCCCTGAATACCCAACACAGTCGGTAAATTGTGAAGAGATTGGAAATGCAGATGGAGCTTATCGGGTCGCAAATCAGTGGCTTAAGAAGTTTGAAGGTATAGGGGATGACAGTTCTCAAGTCGATGTCAAAGATAGACTTTCTTGGTCAGGGTATCACTCACAGATGGCTGGGCACAGTAGTCGTCCTATTTGCACATCTACACTACTACCACTTCTTGAAGAATCAATAAATTCCCCCGATATGGTTCGTCATACAATGGACATTATTCTATCAATTATGCATCAACTAAACCCACAACAGCCTGCAGTTATGACGGCGGACCAGCCCGTTTATGCAATTGGAAAGAAAGTTCAATGGTTATATCCTGAACTATATGGAGAGGGAAAGTTATTAATGATGATGGGCGCATTGCACATCGAAATGGCAACCCTTGATGCTTTAGGTGACTGGCTTGAAGGAAGTGGTTGGGTTGAGGTGCTAATAGAAGCTCAGATAAATTCTCCAGGCCGAGCAGAATCAGTTCTCGGTGGAACTCATATTAAGCGCACTAGATATGCTCACCAAGTCACCTGTGCAGCGTTGCATCTTCTACTCGTAAGTGCTTATAGAGAAAGTGCCACGGACATGTCAATAGATGAATGGATTGCACAGGGGCGGATCCAGACAAAAATTTGACATTCTCAAAACCCATTATGACCGACCGACCACGCCCATTTCCCGGAAACGCCCAAGAAATTGTTTTCTGTCTTTTATGGATGCAATGATTAAAATTATTGAAATTTTAAGAGGAGAAATAGAAACAAACAATAAGAAGTGGCAGACACCCAGGGGGGATGAAGGGAGGTAGTTGTTCCCCAACATTTTGGGAAGACAGAGGTCTTTTATTCTAAGAAGAATGGACAAATGTGATGTCATCTTATCAAAAAAATAGGCTTGCCCCCTCATATTATTGCCCAAAAAACAACAATGATGCAACATTAAAGAATTACTTAATAAGCATAGCAACACTAGTAATTGAAAATTGGGTAATGCAGGGAAAAATAACACAAAGATCAAGACAAAATGTGTGTGGCAAATTGTGCTTGGTTTTCTAATGGTTTAACATGTGGAATTTTATAGAAAGAAGTGTAGTTTTGTGGACATCCAAATGATTGATATAAATTTAAGGGCACAAGACTCATCATAGAACAGATTTATTAACAAAAGTTGACCAATGAAATTACTAAAAATGCAGGCATAGAAACTATACAAGTTGTGTTATAAAATAACACAAACTATAGAGTATACAAGCCATAGAAACTTGGACAAAGAAATGGGCAAAAACCTTTTCTAGTAACAAAAGTAGACTGCTAAGGCTAGTCAACTTCTTTCTGGATGCTAACTCTCTTAAATGCATCATATCTTTTGGCATATGATAATTGCACTGCTTTAGAGTAAAATATTTCTGCATCAAAGTCAAAGTCTGTATATCTGTTTCAGATTTGTTGTTCATCATTTGGAAATACATGGAAAAAAAATTACTTTGGGATGACTGTCTATTTAGTAGATCCATCAAATTTAAATTTGAATCTTCTGAGACCTGACACTTTATACTAAACTTCCCTTTGCTTAGCTTTCAGAGGCACTTTCTTTTGTCAAAGAAAATGAATATAATTTTTGCCTTCATAATATTTCCTTCCACAGGAATTTTAACCAAAATTAGCTTTTTATCCAAACCATAATTCCATCAAAACTTAGTCCGGTAATAGGCTTGCTAAAATAAGAAAACAAATGCATTTCTCATCTTTTTTCTTGTTGAAAGACTACTCCGTTACTCCAACCCCTGCCATACTAGATTACATCATACCAAATACTGCATTTTAACATGCATTAAAAACAGATTCTATCTGCCTTTACTGTGTGTACTAACTTAATGTAAAACATACTTTATTGGACAGCATTTCCAGTTCCTAGTACCACCTTGTTCAAATAAATATATCTCAAGATTTTGACTTCTGTGTTGCATTCTCAATAAACCTTGTTCGTTATTGGCTTAGTATCAATAAAACAGAAAAGGAGATGCATCTTCAAAACAAGAGTGCAGTGTATGACAATAGGCCCATTTAGCTCATATGATTAACCACATAAAATTTCCAAAGATGCAACATGTCAAATGGTTTCAAAATAAAACACAACAGCCCGCCATAGCATAAAACTTTTCACCAAAGGCTGTGACAACAAATCCTATTCTGCTTGGTATCAGCATTCTGCTTGGTATCAATATCAGTAACAAGACTGTAAGAAAGTAATGACTCCTCTAACTGTTAAAATCTCTCTTAACTTTTTTACAGCTAGTTCTTTAAATTAAATTACAGCAAAAGTGAGAAAATCAACTTGCAAATAAATAACATGTTATATAAAACAAATTAAATAGCTATTCAAACAAACTAAAATGTATCCATAAACATTATATTACAAAGATAGGCAACCATTTAATCATTGAATGAATATTCTAGTTCTAGTTAAATTCAGAACAGTGTAATTTTTGTGAATTCTACATTTAAATCACATTACACAAAAACAGAAAGACAATGGTAAGGTATCGGTGTTAAATTAAGTATTTTACCAGCATCCAGAGGGGCCAGTCTGCAAACAAAACAAACTTTTTGCAGAATTTACCATCTGAGCCTCTAGGCCCAGTAGCAGCAGCACAAAATGAACCCCTATATAAAATTTATCAGCAGTACCTCAAAGTCTGACCCTCTCTCGTTCAACAAGGTTCAGCCAGCAAAATGAAAGAATTCTTTTGCCACAATAAATGTCGAAGGTTGTGTGTTACGATCTGGTTCTGGCGCCTAGGCCCTCCCGGCAGACTTGTAAGTAACCATTCCCTAGTCAGCGAAAAAAAATACTCCTCGATGGTATCCAAAGCACAATCGGTCAATAACTGTTTCAATTCTTCCAATACATCCATACTTGCAATGGGCTCTTGTGAAATTATTCTCTAATCAAGCACAAACACAAATCATTACCAGGCACTGCCACTGCCACAGCCACTGTAGTCTGGACTGGAGTGTGGATTCTTGATCACGTGAAGTTGGTGTTCCCTGTCAAATTTAGCTACTTTGTGGACCAGCCCACTAACTTCTCAAGATTCTCAAACTGCGACGTAGGCAAGACCTCATAAAATATATGTTAAACATATGCCAGATATACCCTATTAAAAGTGAATGAGTTTAATACGTCATTCTGGCGAATTTTCCTCTCGTTAAAATCTTTCAGGTCGACCTCTTCTAAGGGACAAAAATGAATTGAAATTCTCTGCGTGCGCATGCAGAAACTGCGTGCAACTTTCTAAAAATGCGAAGGAACTTCTCAAAATGCATGGCAACAGTCGATAAACTTTCTAAAAATCATGCCTAGATACAGGACGCGGCGCAGCCTCTTACTACTCTCCTGGGTACTAGGTTCAATGAAGGAGAATTTGGTTTTTCATCGGAGAAGATATAAAAATGTTTCGCAAAGGCAAAACGGAGTAAAATGTAGCAAATACGGCGATTGTGTAGAAATAAATACCTAAAATACATAATAAAAAGATGTATGCTTATCTTGAATCTTAAATCTGAGCTCATTCATTACTTTTAGCATTTTATTTAGAATAATCAAACTGGGAAAATCTGACATTCTAAATTGAGAATGTTGAGAATGTCTCGATCCGCCC